CTACGATAATATATACTTTTTCGATATTTTATTTTCCAAAAATAATCCGGAACTGAGGTATTTTATATATTTTAATTTAGAAATATGCTTCATACCACGACGGTACGTAATTTTTCATCTTTCATCTGGCCAGCTAGCTCCGCACCCGCCGCTTTAGCGAGCCTATTTTTCGACCCTCCGGAACCACACATTATTACGATTTTCCTTCCTTTTCATATATCTATATTTTCCTTTTTCTAATTTTTTTTTTCTTTAATTTTATTTTTTTTAATTTTTTTCTTCGCTCTGCCCTGCTCTGCTTTTCATCTGTGCATATTGTTAGAAATTTAATTTCTAAATTTCTTTTAATTATATAATTATTTTTCAAATAGGTAAATTGGCCGAAATTTTCCTATACTACATTATACTACACTCCACAACACTACAACTACACAACTACACTCCACTACACTCCACTACACTCCACTACATTACACTACACTAAATTACACTACACTACACTACATTAAATTACACTACACTCCACTACACTCCACTACACTCCACTGCACTCCACTGCACTCCACTGCACTCCACTGCACTCCACTGCACTCCACTACACTCCACTACACTCCACTACACTCCACTACACTCCACTACATTAAATTACACTACACTATACTACACTAAATTACACTACACTACACTACATTAAATTACACTACACTCCACTACACTACACTACACTCCACCACACTAAATTACACTACACTTCACTACACTCCACTACACTACAATTACAGCTACAACTACAGAACTACACTCCACTACACTCTACTACACTACACTACACTACCTTCCACTACACTTCACTACATTACACTACACTACCTTACACTACACTTCACTACATTACACTACACTACACTCCACTACACTACAACTACACCTACGACTACACAACTACACTCCACTACACGAAATTTCACTACACTACACTACATTACACTACACTGCATTCCACTACATTCCACTACATTATACTGCATTACACTACACTACATTCCACTGAATGACACTGCACCACAGATAGACAGGTAGACAGACAGACAGACAGACAGATAGATAGATATACAGATAGACAGGTAGACAACTAGACAGACAGATGAAAGAGAGATAAATAGGCAATTAGCTGAAAGAGAGAGAGGAGGCGATAGTCGATCGATCGATAGATAGATAGATAGATAGATAAAATGAGATAGATAGGTAGGTAGGTAGGTCAGCAAGAAAGAAGGAGAAAGAGAGAGAAAGACGAGGAGAGAGAGAAAGAGAGAGAAAGAGAGAGAAAGAGAGGAGATCGCAAGCACCTTTCGGTCCATCAGTGGATTCGCTCTGCCATCCCGGATTCACAACAACCAATCTCTCCTATAGTCCTATAGGTTTCCTATTTTTGAAACTTCCGCCACCGCCTTGTGCGGTACTACTGGTATATTGCATCAATTCCGGCTATAAATACGTGGTTTCCGACGGGAGCGCCCACTTTTTCGACAAGCATCCCGTTGTCCTAAAATTCGGGTACCCCCAAATCAGGCATTGCGATGCGAGTTGTTCTGCCAAAAGTCGCGGTTGAGTCGACCTCCCGAAGCACCAATTTTCGGGAAAATTTCGCGGTTCAGCCAAAATCCCGAAGCACCAATTTTCCGGAAAATTTGCCACTTTAGGAAATTCCTAAATCGCAAAATTTCCGTAAAAATTCGGGGTTTCGTCCGAAAATTCCGGAAAATTTGGGACTTTTGGCATAAATACATGATGTATTGAATTAATTCCGGGTACAAGTGTCAGGTTTCCGACAGGGGCGCCCACTTTTTCGACAGGCGTCCCGTTTTATGTAATAATAATAAATCAATTTTTGTTTAAATAAATTATTAATTTTAAAACAAATATTATATTAAATATTATCTAATTTTTTAAAATATATATATATATTGTTATATTTTAAATTCCAATTTAATTTCTAAAATATAAATATATTATAAATATATTTTTTAATTATAATAAATTTTGGATGGAATTTTTATATATTTTATATTTTAATTAAAATTATTTATTTATTTATTTTTATCATGGGTTACCACGTGGGGTTTGTTACGCCTTGCCTTCTTGTTGTATTTTTTTTATTTATTGGATTATAACTAATTGAAAAAAAAATATATATTTATTTTTTTGTTGGCCCCAAACTAGGCGTTCTCATTCTGAGGGAAGGCACTGGCGTCATTGAAACGCAATTAAAATGTACATCCGGGGCCTTCTGCCTCAGCTTGTCTTCCCAGCCTCCTCTGGGGCACATGCTGGAGCCTTAGGCTTCCACCTCGCCAAACAGTTCCAGTTGAGGAATGACCAAAAAAACCTGTCAAAACAAATGTTTTGGGCCCAGACATCTTTTTTCCCTCTTCTTTCTTGCCCTTGAGGCTGCAACTTTGAAGGAATGGCTACAATGTGGCTGCTCAGAAGATGATTTGTGGCACAGGCGAGATTTGTTGATGCAAGTTCAACTGACACCTAAGGGCCCAGCATTTCTCGAAGAGTTCTGCTTCGCTTCGGAAGCCTGCATAGAGCTCAAAGCAAGGAGTCTGCTCAACCCCCGGCTGTCAACGAGAAACTTCTGCAGTGCCGCATGCGGCGTGATGCATGCCCTGCCAGCCTCCGGCGCCGCAGTCTTTGGGTCGTCCCACTCCCCAGGAGCAAGTGGAGCCTCATGGGTGCTGCAAGTTCGGCCGTCCAACGGATCAGCTCCTTGTTTTTGCTTTCGGTTTCTTCAAGGTTGCGATCCGTTTCGCAAACTGGGTCAGCAGCCGAATCAGCCATCCACACGCTCCTCAAATCAGCCACAATCCAACAATCGCAAAGTTTTTTGCCATCCGCGCTGCGAGAAAGAGTAGGTCTGTTGCTGCTACTGCACTGTGTAACTACAAAAATCAAGTCCAAAATACAAAATATGTGCACCCACAACTGAAACACCAAGACCCAAGCGGTTCAAAAGGTTTCGCAGTGGGCATGAGCTTTGTTCTGAGCGAGTCTGCCTTGAGACTGTTGCGTGCCCAACGCCGTCCACTTTTGCTGTCGCACCATGAAAGTTCAACTGAATTTGTACCAGAACAGAACAATCAATCATTTGAACATTTAATTTAATAAACAAGAATTGATAATAAATAATAATGAGTAATAAATATAAACGTATTTACAGTAAACCATCAGTAATGATTGCTCGATGGTTGAGATGTCTCGACATCTTGCCTCGACTCGTCCCGGCAAGCCTTGAAATGGCATCAAATTCAGTCAGCTGAGCAAGCCGGGCAGCCAGCTTGGTCAACTTATGCCCTTCATGTGACATTTCTGGATCCCAACGTTAAGCTCCAAACCCTCGTCCACTGGCTTAGGCGTTGGTGGTGGGGGAGGAATCCCAAAGCTGGGCACGAAAATTCGAGCATCCTGAGCAATTTAACTATAGATCACTTCACACCACTTAACAATCCCGCCAGAGATCTCTTCTGTTTCGTCGCAGCTTCTCACCAGGTTTCATCTGTGGGTCGGTTTGCCTTTCGCATACCATGTTTGATGCTGGGACATCATGGCTCTTTCGGAAACGGATGCCAACGGTATCAAGTTCTCAGGCTGGCACCGATTTCAGCTTCTGCCTCGGAAGGATCACCTGCAATCAGAATTGGACAAGTGACAGGTCAGGAAATCAGAAGTACCTGACTACCTGAAGTACAAAGAACATCACAGAACATCAACTAACTCGGGTCTTAGATTCTAAACTTTACGAGAAGATGTTCCTGTGATCTCTTGATGTGACATTATTGATCAAACTTTGCCATTTAAAATGCACTCTGGCCAAAAGTGCCTCCTTCTCGATTGCACCGTTCCCAGTTCCATCCTCCTCGGTCATCTCATCAGCAATGGATCAAACAGAGAAACACACTTGGTTTACCTCGCATTGGTACACCGCCACTAGAGACACTAACAACAAATAACGATAAATAACGACTACTCAGGACTACTCAGTAACGCCACAAACACCATCTCCGTTGTTACGTGACAATATTGGTGTCATCATGTGTCACCTCTTGAACAAACTTTCAGAACTCCTCTTTGGAGGATTTCTTCACGTCGCGTTGTGTTTTCTGGTTGGAGTAAAGGTCCAAGACCTGGCTGCAGATCTCATCAGAATCTGGCCCCAGAGGTCCTAGAGATTCCTGGAGCGAATCTGGCCTTGTCCAGCAGCTCACTGCTTGGGCTGTGGCCGGATGATTCCATCCTGGCAACTTCAAGACTCGATTGATCTGCATGAGTGTACGAGCAATAAGTCGCTGTGATGGAAATATGATAATATCTGTATGAAGCATGAGAAAACAATGAACATCAGCAGTGTGCCCCGCTTCATCAGAAAGTCACTGGAAGTTTTGAGGTCTTTTGCGAGCACGCTTGCCTCCCAAAGCAAACCCAAATGACCCACATGTATCCACATGTCACTTCCGAACAAGATGCCGTGGAAAGTAGCTGCAAATGCATGCAAACAATATACTCTAAGACACTAGTTCTCACATGTTCTCACACCTCTATCATCAACGAGAAGGTGGCTGAAAAAATGTCCACATTCGCTGCCGCTAACTGGTCATAGAGTTCCTGCCAGGTTTACGACAGCAGACTCGACACGGGATTGCGGGGGATCAGTAAATGGCGGGCCTTTGCCACATCCACGCGTTTGAAGTTCAAGGCCCCACGCAAAACCATCTGCGCCTTGATCAAGAACATGAGTAGACGATGTTGGGCTCTTGTACAGCAGATTTTCTGATATTTGCTGAATCTAGTGCAGCTCGAAGCCTGAAATACAATGGGATATGAGAAACTTCAACTGCTGAAGGCGAAGTTAGGAGCCTCTGCATTGGCTTTATCGGCACTTGCGTCTGAGAGGTCAAGGGTCTGCACTGGAGCCTTCAAAGAAAATCGGTACACGTGGTACTGCATCGTGCATCGAAATGATCGAAGTAACTGATGACTGCCCAATGTCCACACGACACAAAGGAGATCAAAGCGAACCTGCGTGCAACACGCTTTTTTGGATTGAATAATTATATATGTAAAGCCATGAAAGGCCTTCTTGTTGAAGGCAACGTAATTCAGAAAGGACTCCAGGTTCATCTTTTCCTCAGATTCAAACTGAATCGAGATGAATTCCAAACAGGAAATGTAGGAAAGGCTAAGACTTCCTGCCTCCGATTCCTTCATCTGTGCGGCTCCCTGTGCTGAAGGCCCATGAGCCATCTCCTAGCTGCTGCAGGCATGGAAGAACTTGAATCTTCCTCCCACAAACTACTCGACATCTTGGAAGGGTAGCGTTGCTTGCGTTTCAAGAGCCTCAGAGTTCACGTTTCCAGAGATAGCCGTCTTGTCTTCCTTCTTGGAACTGGCCAAGTCACGGAAAGCCATGGCTAGTTGGGCAATGTTGGGCACAGCTGTGCTGCTGCTTCTGGTTCAACAGATTCTTGGGGGCAGTACTATGTCATCGAGATTGGTCGAAACATGTCCGGCCTCCGCACTTTGTCTGGCGCATCACGAGCTCGCCTGACAAAAGGCATCAACACGCACAGTCCTAGAAAGGACATGAAAGGAGGTACAAAACACACCAGCCGACCAAGCCTCAGACGAGTAAAGAATTGCTTGCGGAACACTGGACCCGTGCCTTTGTTCTCTTGGCTCCTTCGGTTCCTTGCCGCTACCTCTGTCCTGAAGAACTCTAACACTAAGTAATTCTGTCGTGTTGCTTTTGCTGCCGAGAGTAAGTGTCTAAAGATTGCTCTCCGCTCACTTCTCCCCGAATCTCATTTCTTCGCAGACTTTGTTGCTTTCACAAACAGGAAAATGAAATAGACTCTTTTGTTTGGGCACAGTTTACACTTTTTCAGGCTCTGCCCCTATGGCAAGAATTCCAGCTCCTCCTTAGGTTCGCGGTTTCTCTTCCCTCCGCCTTAGTGCCACAGCTTAAAAATGTTTAAAGTTTAAACCATTTTAAACCAATCTTCTGGATCTTCTTTTCCTCTGGGGTGGGCTGAGCTAAGGATCTGGCCTTTACCCCGGCCTTTCTCAGGGCCTCTAAACAATTGAGGCGCCTGCAGGTAGTTTTTTTGACACAGTCCAAATGTTGCAGGGGAAGGTGAGAGCTTTGTTCTTCCATGTGGACTCTGCTACAGCAGGCCTCAGCCTGAGTCTTGCGAGTGAGGGTGGCCAATTCATCTGGCACAGTGCCAGTATCAACAGCCTGGTTTCAGGAACGAAGAGCGGAAGCAGTATCCTTGCACTTTGAAACATGATGACAAAGCGGGTGAGTCTCCAAACACGGATGACCCTTCCACTTTATTTTGTGTACCACAAAGTTTGAAACTCAGAACAAATCCGCCTGGCGATGGGCCAAAAGCTTTCCTCAGATGGAAGCGCAACAACCCCGTGACATCTGGATGACTCTCTCATCTGCAGGATTGAGATGCTTGCCGCTGGAAAGTACTGTCCATCCGCTTGTTCCACAATTGATCAGAAAATTGGCCCACAGAACACCATATTCTGGGAACATCTAATTATTATGGTTTCATTGTGCCGTGTTTCTTGCTAGAATCATTCTTCTCGGGGATTTCTCAACCCACAAATAGGGTTTTTATGTTTTCCCAACTATTTTTCCCGATGAAACTGGCCAATTTCCTGCGTAACCTGTGTCTAATTTGATCGAGATTCCCCGGCTGATCTTATTTTTGTTTGCGGAGCTTTCGACAAACCTGGCCGCAGCTGGTAGCATGGACAATCTTTGAGGATCGACACTCATCGACAAGCACCGAGGCACCGAGGCATGGACGTCTGGTCTTCCTTTGATGATTGCCATTTGAAGAAAATGCAAGAGAGGATAATTGGTAGTACCTTGGTCAAAAACTGTTACAGCATGTTACAGCCACAATTCACTTAAAAACCATACTAAAAACCATACTTTCTTCTTCTGACCGCTAGGGGGCTAGCGATTCGTAACGTCCAAATCAAGGCGGATGTCAGCTCCATTGTGTTGCACCTGTGGTCCAAAGGCAGGTGAACAAATATCATCAAATATCACTTGGCACTAGATCAAAACTCCTTTGGATAATGTAGGCTCCATCACTTGAGCTCTAGGCGAGTAGTGGGATGGAGGCACCTGGAAACTGAATCCGGGCCATGTCTATTTTTCTGCCGGTAAGGCAGCACCAAAGCATGGGTCAAAATGTCAAAACCGTGGCTGGAAGCACGGTGGGCGGAGAACGCTGTAACTGTAACGGCTGCAAGAGTTCGCTCCCAGGTCCTGCATCCAGAACATTGCAGCCAAAACTATCATATAAAATATACAAATACAAATAATTAACATGCGCATATTACTTACATATATATAACATTTATATTTATATCACTCTGTAGCTATATATACTACATCAAATTCAATTGACATCAAATAAATCCAAATAACATTAAATAACATTAAATAACATCATCCAATATCCAATATATCCATAACTTAGGGACCTTTTGGAAGCCGAGCAACTTGGCCTGTGCCACGTCGAAGGGTTCCAACACCCAGACTACTGCGGCAACGGGGGCCCCAGGAGGTGGGCGCGCCCGTGAACGAACTGCGCCGCTCAGCGCGGCTGGAGCCAAATGCGGATGTCGAAATATGTCGAAATGACTCAAAGAATCTCAAACAATGATTCAATATGATTCAATCATACTTCAATCATACTCAATCTGTTCAATGATGACTATGATAACTATGATAAGTATGATAAGCCTACTGTCTACATTGTCTACATATGTCTACATGCTAATCATGGAACATCATGGATCTTCATGGATCATCATTGATCACTCTGTGACTCCCTTTTTTGAGATCTGTCTCACCAGCGCTCGAGTGGCTGCTGACGCCGCATTGAGGGCCTCTGTGTCATGGCATGTCATGACCTTACAAAAATGGACCCAACATACCCAATGAACAGTTTGTTCAGATTCATAGTGCTTTTCTTGCTTCAGATCTATTACAAGAAGTTGGAGAGATACACAGAAACACCAACTGCCGAAATGCCAATATATGCCAATTGAGGCTGGTTATTTCAGTTCTGCAGGCTTGGAACTTGGATTGTGTTGAAAAAACACCAATCTACCAATCTCAGGCTCGCACACAATCTTGTCGTTGCGCCTTTTGCGAGCTGCTGCCAGAGCCTTGCAGGAACAGGGTTTGCGGGCGGCATTGGCCACAGTGACAAATGAAAATTAGATAGGAAATGGGACATCAGAACTTGATATAACATGAACGCAACATGAATCATTGATTTGCGGCGGAGGACCTCTGAATTGCCGGTTGCAGCAATTGGATCAAAGATCTCCAGGGAGTCCCGAGCCTGCCAACAGCACCATGTCTTTTCTGACAGGACGGAAGGACTTCACTTTCCCAGCTTTTCTCCAATCTAAACAGTGCCCAGCTTTACCCTGCAAAACATTGCACAGCTGTAAGATTTCCCCTCTTCTCCACAAAGTCTACTTATTTTCCCAGAGCCTTCCGAGCTGCAATCTCGAAAGCCTGAAAAATCGTCTCGGAAGCCGATACAATCCGATACAAGCTGCATCTCTTTTCACCTGACGACAAGCAAAGGGTCCTCGCCTTGTCGCCGGAGGTATGGAACTTGAGCCCTGAACCGCCAAGCCAGTCCTTCACAGGTCTGGAGAGTATTCAAACGGATTAAGTGATATTCAGTGACCGTACTCGAAAAAGAGAAGTATGCGGAAAGAAAAAGTAGCATCGAATCTGTGGATGTCTGTGGATGCGTGTTTTTTTTTTATCTCGTCAGCAAGTTGTCCTTGTCGGCATCTTCATCACCATCTTCCCAATAGGATGCCAAAGTTGCAGGTTCGGCCTCTCAAAACCAGCTCCAGTTTGGATAGCTTGTACAGCTTGCACAGCTTGAGAGTGGCTGGATCATGTGAAACTGTTATCACCTTGCGACACGGTTTTAACATGTTTTGAAAAATCATGGAATCTACTGGAATCCAATGGAACGATCATTTGGCATGCTGTGGTGTCCGAAGTCTTTATAGTCACCCGACATCTGCCTAACATGTCTCACTTTTCAGTACTTTTCAATACTCTTTACTCTACACAAACGCTAACCTGTTGAACGCAATTTCTTCACCCCCAAATTGGGTCCATCTTCCCGGCTGACAATGCCTCCTTTTCTTGCTGCTCTTCTTCTCCTTCCGGGTCATCAGGCAGAAGAGTGCGAAGACGGTCCTGCCAGATCCAGCTGGATGGTTCTGAAGCTAAAAGCCTCAGCCGTCCATTGCAGTCCATCGCAATCCATTGCAGTCCTGCCAGCCTTTCAGGCCTTCCACCAATGCCTGCAACAGTGGACCGAAAATTTCTTCAATGACCCATGAAGTAATTGTTTGCTATGAGCGTTGGCTGACCTCCGCTTGCAAGCGTCTTGCTTCCTTTCCTCGAACTTCTACCTGAAAGACAGCTCTTCTGAAATTGGATGAGCCCAGAATCTTCTAGGAGCAAAGATTTCATGTGTGTCTAAAAGGCTGCTGTTCAAATCAGTTCGTATGTCCGTGCCGTGCTTAAACCGATTGGGCGCGCACCCTGGTTTCAGACCGTGTTTTGAAACCTCTACGCATAGCCTCAGCAAATCAACGAACGAGAGGGCTTGCACATTCGTACTCTGCAATACGAGGCTGCCACCTCCAAGGCCGAGCCTCCGCTCTTTCGTGAAAACACTCTGCTTTTTGTAACAAAGAAGTCATGGTCGGGTCAAACAACACGGCGGTGGAGGAACTGCAGCACCTGATTTCCTCCTCGAGGGCTCTTCTGCTGGCAGCCCATTGGCCAAGCCAACCTTATAGGTCCCATTGAATGGCTCACCTTTTCAATTGGCAACCAATGTTGGTTACAGCAGTTCTACACCTTATCAACGTGCAGCAGAAGTTACCAAAAACATCTCAAAACATCTAAAACTGAGGATTCCACGATATCCCTCTTCAGTTTCAGGATTGTCTGCAAGTGGCTTCAGGAACATTCCCAAACAAGCAACAATCTCAAGGTACACGGATGCTGGTGAAATTTCTGTGATGTCAAGTTGGGTGGCTTTACAAACAGGCACAAATCCAAGGGTGTCAAGGCTTCTTTTGAGGCTGCCAAAAAACCATGCCTCCTGTCTCAAAGCTTCTTTGTCTTTCTTCACAGGTTTGGCCTGCCGCGGTAGCCATATCTGAGTCTGCAATCTGACCGATAAAACGTCTTCCGCGTGTCGCACCTGCTGAGCGCTGACATCTGAGTCTGAATCTCCGAAATCCGGTTCTTCACTTTCATCTTCCTGGGAATGCTTGGACACCACCCATGCAGTGTCCAAAAGTTCCAAATTCAAAGCATGTAGCCTGATATAATGTTATAGCAGCAAGTTGGCAGGCCAAATCTTAATGTATCTCTCTCAACCCAGCCCTTTCTGTCCTTTGCTTCCTTTTCTTTCGACACTCTGCCTGGCCAAGTCCAGTAGTAGGAGAAAAGACTTCTGAAACCGCTGAAGCAGGCCTTGAGGCACTCGATTTGCAGGCACCTGCCTCCGACATCATTGGCATCATCCACATCCAAGTGTTGCAAATTTTGACAAAGAAAAATGAGGACATCAGGAGGATCCATACTGGATCCATACTGAAACATACTGCAACTATGTGCCTCTTGGCATCACCTTCCTGTGGAGCTGCTGCTGCAGGCCGTTTGCCTTCGACTGGGTGTGGCTCAAACGTGGGGTACCTAGAGTCACTTAGTGACTCACGCAATTTCTCCGTTTTCCGATATTTTGTACAGGAAAACGTCAAGAACATTCCAGGTCAGAGCTACATAAATTAAGCCATGCCCACTTTATCCATCTTTATCCAATATAATAACAATAATTATAATTATTATTATTATTATTAATTATTATAATTATTATTATTACTTATTATAATTATTATTTTTAATTATTATAATTATTATTATTAATTATTATAATTATTATTATTAATTATTATAATTATTATTATTAACTATTATAATTATTATTATTAATTATTATAATTATTGTTATTAATTATTATAATTATTATTATTAATTATAATTATTATTATTATTCATTATTTTCATAGACCCGGGCAAGCCGGCGGCGGAAGTTTCCCAAACATAAATGACCTATAGTTCAAAGACAACCTGTCCCGACCGTGTCCTTCCCTCGACGCTCCACGCCTCACACTGCACACTGCACTCTTCGCACTCCAAACTTCAAACTTCACACTCCACACTTCACACTCCACACTTCTCACTTCTCACTGCTTCCTTCACACTCCAAACCTCACACTTCACACTTCACATACACTGCACGCTTCACACTTCACAGTCCACACTTCACACTAACACTTCACAGTCCACACTTCACACTTCACACTCACAGTCCACACTTCTCACTTCGCACTTCACACTTCACACTTACACTCACATTTCACACTTCTCCATTCTCATGCTTCCTTCACACTCCAAACCTCACAATTCACACTTCACACTTCACACTGCGCTCTTCGCACTCCACACTGCACAGTCCACACTTCACACTTCTCACTTCACACTTCTCACTTCTCACTGCTTCCTTCACACTCCAAACTTCACACTTCTCACTTCGCACTTCACACTCCACACTTCACAGTCCACACTTCACACTTCTCACTTCTCACTGCTTCCTTCCGACTCCAAACTTCACACTCCAAACTTCACACTTCTCACTTCGCACTTCACACTCCACACTTCACTCACACTTCACACTTCACAGTCCACACTTCACACTTCTCACTGCTTCCTTCACACTCCAAACTTCACACTTCTCACTTCGCACTTCACACTCCACACTTCACAGTCCACACTTCACACTTCTCACTTCTCACTGCCTCCTTCCCACTCCAAACTTCACACTCCAAACTTCACACTTCACACTTCTCACTTCGCACTTCACACTCCACACTTCACTCACACTTCAGACTTCACACTTCACACTTCTCACTGCTTCCTTCACACTCCAAACCTCACACTTCACACTTCACACTGCGCTCTTCGCACTCCAAACTGAAACTTCACACTCCACACTTCACACTTCTCACTTCCCACTGCTTCCTTCACACTTCACACTTCACTCTTCACGCCCCACACTTCACACTGCTCTAAACGTACGTCCAACAAAAAAACACTAGTGCCAAAATGGAGAAAATCTGCTAACAAACCCATTTCGCAGCCTTCATGCAGCCACTCCAAGACGATTTCCGAGATCCAGCTGCAAAAGACAATAGTATTACGAATGCAGCCACAGCACGAAGCAACCTTGACGCAGCCATTACAATGCGATCTGCAGAGACTGAGTTGCAAAGCACAATAGAACTACTCGCAACGGCGTCGGAAATTGTAGCTCCAAAACCGGATGAGCGAAAAAAAGACGATTTTGAAGCACTTTTTAAAAGGATTTTTAGAAGGAAAATCACTAGCGCCAAAATGGAGAAAATCTGCTAACAAATCCATGTCGCAGCCGTCGCAGCCTTCATGCAGCCACTCCAATACGATTTACGAGATCCAGCTGCAAAAGACAATAGTATTACGAATGCAGCCACAGCACGCAGCAACCTTGACGCAGCCATTACAATGCGATCTGCAGAGATTGAGTTCCAAAACACAATAGAACTACGCGCAACGGCGTCGGAAATTGTAGCTCCAAAACCGGGATCTCGACGCCAGAGCGAAAAAAAGACGATTTTGAAGCACTTTTTAAAAGGATTTTTAGAAGGAAAATCACTAGCGCCAAAATGGAGAAAATCTGCTGACAAATCACTGTGGCAGCCTTCATGCAGCCACTCCAGTACGATTTACGAGATCCAGCTGCAAAAGACCATAGTATTACGAATGCAGCCACAGCACGAAGCAACCTTGACGCAGCCATTTACACTGCGGGAACGATCCTACAATTGCAAAGCACAATGGAATTCCATCGGCAACTCATCCACCAGCACCACTTGCAATCCCATTTACATTGCGGGAACGATCCTAGAGTTGCAAATCAGAATGGAATTCCATCGGCAACTCATCCACCAGCACCACTTGCAACCCCATTTACAATGCGGGAACGATCCTACAGTTGCAAATCACAATGGAATTCCATCTGCAACTCATCCACCAGCACCACTTGCAATCCCATTTACATTGAGGGAACGATCCTAGAGTTGCAAATCACAATGGAATTCCATCGGCAACTCCTCCACCAGCACCACTTGCAATCCCATTTACATTGCGGGAACGATCCTACAGTTGCAAATCACAATGGAATTCTGTCGACCACACATGCACGAAACACAGGTGAAACCCCATTTACAATGCGGAACCGATCCGAACATGATCCGAGCATGATCCGACCACACACGAGACCGTCTCGCACCCGTCGCACCGCAGAGGTAGATCATCGACGTTCGGGGACGGACTTTGTATGGAAAAACATAAGCTTTCGTGCATCTGCTATCTCTCAAAAACGCATTTCGTGCGAGACTTCCTTCAAAACTCCATCGGCAACTCATTCACCAGCACCACTTGCAATCCCATTTACAGTGAGGGAACGATCCTAGAGTTGCAAATCACAATGGAATTCCATCGGCAACTCATCCACCAGCACCACTTGCAATCCCATTTACATTGCGGGAACGATCCTACAGTTGCAAATCACAATGGAATTCTGTCGACCGCACATGCACGAAAAACAGGTGAAACCCCATTTACAATGCGGAACCGATCCGAACATGATCCGAGCATGATCCGAGAATGATCCGACCACACACGAGACCGTCTCGCAACCGTCGCACCGCAGAGGTAGATCATCGAGGTTCGGGGACGCACTTTGTCCGGAAAAACATAGGGTTTCGTGCATCTGCTATCTCTCAAAAACGCATTTCGTGCGAGACTTCCTTCAAAACTCCATCGGCAACTCCTCCACCAGCACCACTTGCAATCCCATTTACAGTGAGGGAACAATTTCTTTGCTAACTCTTTCTGTGACTAACTCTTTTCCTCACTAACTCTTTCTTTGACTAACTCTTTCCCTCACTAACTCTTTCTTTGACTAACTCTTTCCCTGACTAACTGTTTCTTTGACTAACTCTTTCTTTGACTAACTCTTTCCCTGACGAACTCTTTCTTTGCTAACTCTTTCTGTGACTAACTGTTTCTTTGCTAACTCTTTCTTTGAATAACTCTTTCCCTCACTAACTCTTTCTTTGACTAACTCTTTCCCTCACTAACTCTTTCTTTGACTAACTCTTTCTTTGACTACCTCATATATCCTGACTAACTCTTTCTTTGACTACCTCATATATCCTGACTAACTCTTTCTTTGACTAACTCTTTCCCTCACTAACTCTTTCTTTGACTAACTCTTTCCCTCACTAACTCTTTCTTTGACTAACTCTTTCCCTCACTAACTCTTTCTTTGACTAACTCTTTCCCTGACTAACTGTTTCTTTGCTAACCCTTTCTTTGACTAACTCTGTCCCTCACTATCTCTTTCTTTGACTAACTCTTTCCCTCACTAACTCTAACTCTTTCTTTGACTAACTCTTTCTCTGACGAACTCTTTCTTTGACTAACTCTTTCCCTCACTAACTCTTTCTTTGACTAACTCTTTCCCTGACGAACTCTTTCTTTGACTAACTCTTTCCCTGACGAACTCTTTCTTTGCTAACTCTTTCTTTGACTAACTCTTTCCCTCACGAACTCTTTCTTTGACTAACTCTTTCCCTGACATTCTAAAAGTCCGTAACACGGAAGTTTCTCCCCCTAAACTTCCTTTGATTATTATTATTTATATTTATTATCATTATTTATTATTATTATTTATTATTATTATATGTATATATCTAATATTATAATATTACAATATTCATCAAATATCTGCTTTCGTTCTACCATGATCAGCCCACCTTCTCGCAGTTTCTTCTTCTCTGCCACCTGCACAGCTGCGCGGCTGAGAAACACCGGGTGCAAAACGGATCCGATCGCCTCCTCTGGATACGCAACATCTCGAGACAGTCGAGGGTCGTTGAGGACGTCATGCCTGGCAAACTCAACAGACTCAACAGACTCGACATCAACATCACCAACTGCACCGCGTTCACCAGTGAAAATGCTGCACAGTGCCATGCAAATCATGCAAGTGCCATGCAAGTATGATTTTGTCAAAAAATGTATGAAGGTGTCTGGGGCAGCGGCGCGCTTTTCACTTTCACATTTCCTGGCAATCTATTTGGAAAACAAAAGCAAAATAAAAGTCGTGCTTTGTATGAATAAATAATGATACGCGCAAGATTGCGCAAGTGTGTTTTCTCCTGCCTTCTGCTTCATCATCATCATCCTCTTCATCGCTCCCAGCGCCCTCACCATGCATCAGCGTATCGACAACTTCATTGGAAGGTCAATGAGAACAGAGTAAGGCTTTTGCCGCAAAGGAGAGCACATTCTTCTTGTGCACAGGAGCTCGTCTGTGTTCCTCCTTCTCCTTGATCTGCTTTGGCACCGACTGTTTGTAGCGCCTCGACAAGCAATCTCAGCAATATCAAGGCAGGTTGACCGATGCTGGAATCGACTCGAATTTCCCTTTTCCGTTGTCAGACACTATAAGACTATTAAGGATCAAACGGTTCCAAGTCACCGAAAGGATCCCAAACAAGCTCTGCGCGTACTATCCTGCTGTCAAAACTGTCAACTCCCACGCGAAAGCATTGTTTCCTCTTCCCCCTTTGAGATATTGAGCCCCGAATCTCTCAGACCAGTCGGTCCTGGGGGCATCCACGGGAATGTCGTTCTTGTCTACCTCACGACATTCAGATTGTGAATCACCTTGTGGAAAGTTGGGAAAGTTCCATGCATCATGTCCTAGCCTCTACCTCATTGAGGCGGACAAGGTTGTAGATGGTCTGTCCAACAACCTGTCGCTCAAAAAAAACACAAAGCCGGGTCAAAACTATGTCACTGTGGTGCAGTGAACATCCGGATCCATCGTTCAAGGCAAGGCGGCAAGGCCTTGCCGAAGAGAGTGTGCTTGCCGTCAAGGGAAGGAAGACGGCCCATAGCAATGAAGAACTGACTACCTACAAAAAACAGCAAAGCGATGCAAAGCGCCTTTGGGGAAGTCAGTCGAACTGGATTCCAAAATCAGAACTCGAAAAGTCGGCAGGGTCTGTCAACAAAGCATCACGCTCAACACAAAAAATGCACAGAGACTCGAACCATTGGTCTTCGTCCCTCGGCCAGCACTGGCCACACCCATCATGCCACGATACCTCTCCGCAAATCCAAGAAAATGGTTCACTCTTCTTGTCAGGGCTTGAATGTCCCTCAAGTATATACAAGTGCCAAACCAAAAATCAAATAAAAGTCATGAACCATCACTATTAACCTTCAAATCTGATCATATTTGATGACAAATAATCACGGATTCATTGGTTGCTTGAATCTCTTCGCCTGAACTTCAATCGTGGATGGATCTCATCTGGATATGGACCGCCATAGATGGATTCACAGCCATCACCGGTGCCTGTCGCCTGGCACCAGCGACGCACCAAATTGCCGTACATGGAAGTTCTTTTTCACAGCATTCCTGTTGATTCATGTGAAAAAAAAACATCCAAAACCTCCAAAACCATCCAAAACCGGCAAAGTCAGCAAGGATGACATCTCCTCCCTGAATCAGAAAGTCTCTGATGACTCTGTGGAAGCTGGTGCCGTTGTAATACCTGGAACTTGCCACAACTGAAATGATTCAATCGGACTGCTTTTTGCAACAGATGGGGCACCCCTCAAGGATGAGCTGGCAGAAGTTTCTGCACGCCTTTCAGCCAATGAAAAAACAAAATATAAGTTTGCTGCGCGCCACAAGGAAACTTGAAAAGACAACTTTATGAACAAACAAAGAAACAAACAAACAAAACAAAACAAGACAAAACAAGACAAACAGACAAACACACAAACAGACAAACAGACAAACAGACAAACAGACAAACAGACAAACAGACTGCAGACCCACATCCAAACTTGACACAGCAATATACTAATGTTGTGTAGAAAACTGCCCGATAAAGGAGACATTCGGAGACATGTGCCAGCCTTTGGAGTCTCTGTTGCCCATAGTTCAATCTCTAGATCACCTGGCATCGTCACAAGGAGACCCCGAAACATTGGAGACAAACAAAACATTCTCGGCTCACCATGGGTGGTCGTCAGAACAGCTTTCCCTTTTGTGGCTGGCTCCTGCCAACGTCTACAATCTTCAAAAGAAGGTTCCAGGTAGAAACACAACAAGCAAGAAACACACTACAGTCACTACAGCTTCAATCCTTGATGTAGACTTCAGACATTCGTCTGAATCGAACTATGCACAAAAAGGTGGAAAATAAATCTCACAGATTAGAATCATATGGGTTTGAGCTGCTGTGAGGGATGAACAGAGGTATTCTGCTGTTGGGGGCACATTGGCTTCATCAAAACTGTAAGCGTGCCTTTTTCAAGACCGGAACAAAAACTAGAAAACGTTTTCGCTAGTGGCCACCCCCTCTGGCAATTTTCATTCGTTGCACCATGCTAGATTGATGTGACATAATTTTCCATGAAAATGCACTCCACCTTGATCCAACATCAAATCTGCTCAGCTGACCTGATTTCTACCAATACCCTTTCCCTTATCTTTTTGTCGAAAAATCCCTTGAGGTTGGGGCATGCTGTTCTGGGAAAGTTGCAGCATCTGGAGAGACAAATCGTTCGACCCTTCACCATGTGAAGTTCCAACAGCAATGATAGAAGGAGTATATGAAATTACTTTGAGTACGTTTGAACGGATCCGACATTCTGCTCATACCGAAGCCAAACTTATCAAACCATCATCTTGAGGCCCAACAAACTCCAGACTGCAAGCATGCATTGAAGGGCGTCCAGTGAAAGAGGCTGGTACAAACAGTTGTGAATTTTCTACAATCAGACTCTGTTCCTCTCATCCCGACAATTCAAAGGGCGGTTGCCCACTGAAGAGTTTTTGATAGTATTTGCAAGGTCTCTGGACAAACAGTGGCGCTTGTTCCATTTCTCGACACTATTTCATGTTTCGCACTGACTCATCAACCGATTGTGCAGCTTCCCATCGATAGGGAAGCTGTACTTCTTGTCGAACTAAACATCTACAGGTTTAAAAAAGGCGCTGCTGTGATTCCAATCGCATCAGACAGTCACCGATGTGCTGGGAATGCAGTCTCCTGAGTTTGCATGCTTTGCAATGAGTGCATGAGACGTTCTTGACATCGCTGAGATTGGCTGGGTATTGAATCAACCCTGGTTGATAAACACCGTGGAATCCAAAGAGCAATCAATGGCGCACTATCTATACATATATGTATATAGTTCTTGCTTTCTCTTGTTTTATCTTGCTCTTCCTTTCTCTGGCTCTGCGAAGAAGCAATAGCAAGAGACAAACACGCGCCTGCACGGGGAACCAGGTGATCATGAAACGAAGCACCTTGCAGCAGGAAACCAACAAGGGATATCAGTGTTTGCAGCCCAGTGCTGGAGCAAATTTAAGGATGAAGGATGATGAAGGGAACTGAGAAAATGGCCGACTCAAGGATCGTCAGAGGAAGCCTTGGGGCACAAACTCGTTGCGTTTCTCACCCTGGGTGGACCCTTTATTTGATTGTGTGAGTTTGGGTGAGCACAACTCGTTGCCTTTCATTTCCTGGGGCCTTGACAGACTTAAATTGTACGGGAAGGGGAGGCTGAAATTGTTCCTGGAATTCATGCACTTGGCTGCAAAACAAAGGTTCAGCACCACAGAACCATCACAATATCCCAACTCATAAACTCATAAGGCCAGCGCTTGAGCTGAAACCAAATGCCAAAAGCAGCCTAACTTGCAGCATAAGTCAGGCTGCAGCATAAGTTCAAAGTCTGGAGCTGCTGTACGAATTGAGCCGAATTGCCAGTGGGAGTCCGATAAGCTCGTCCAAAAAGCTCTTGTCAGGATCAAACCTCACCAAAGCATGATAATTCCAGCAACAGAACCAGGTTCGCTTCCCAGTGGTCCGAGCATCGTTGGATCTGATAACACAAGAAGCTCGGCTCAGGAGTCGGCTTTCGCTTGCAGCAGCGGCCGCCTGAAGCCCAGGAGAAGCCTGTCATAGCAAAGTGCCAACAACTTCTTTGACACCTTCTTTGCGGTCGCTAAGTAGCAAACCTGTGTCCAAGCAACAAAACTGCACATGACTGCACTGCGGAATTGAAGTAAGTCTTGCACATTCGGCTTGAACATGTTCATTCTCTTCGGGTGACAGATGTTTTTTTGGCTGGTACTGAGATGATTGTTTTCCTTGCTCCTTGCCTTGCAGCATTTTGAAACTAAAATCTCTCATCTACAGAGTATTTGCGGTGTTCTGCAGCTGGAATCTGTTGTTTGCACAGATTGCCACATGTTGGGCATAAAATATGTTCCTATATTTTCAATATATTTTCTATACACATCCATGCATTAATTACGAAATTTGAAATTAGTGTCGCATGCGAATTTCCTCTAGCATTTTCGGGTAAATCTCATTCTATATTATAGTTAGGGTAGGCCTTGCCCATCTTCCTATCATCACATAACCCTGCATACCCCCCTACACTTTCAACATCATTTCATAACAATCTCATAAAACCATCATTCAAAAACATCATCCAACCATCATTTCAAAACAATCTCTCAACTCAATCTTTCCAAAACTTCATTCAACAAAACTTTCATAACAATCTCATAAAACCATCATTCAAAAACTTCATTCAACAAAAATTTCATAACAATCTCTCAACTCAATCTTTCCAACCATCATTTCAAAACAGTCTCAACAATAACCACAACACAAATCATTTTGAAGATGATACTGAACTCAACAATCTTCAAAAGGATTTTCAACAAGTAACCTACATAACCAAAAACCATCATCCAACAAAACGGGGGCAAGGTCCTCCTCATAGAATTTACCAAAACATTTCACACAAGACCTTAGGAAGATTTCCTTGAATATATTCTTTCCCTGAAAAGGTGGATTTTCCAAGAAATCTTCATAAAGTATTATGTAAATGTTTCTTTAAAAGGGTTTTACAAAAAATATCATTTGAGACATGGTGAAAAAAGTAATTGACAAAACGGTTTTCAAAAGTTCTTACCAAAGTTCAAGTATAAACAAGTTTTTGGTTAAATGCCCTTGAAAAAATACTAGCACCCCCTTATACACGAACATGTTAATGTCAAGTGTATTTGTTAAAAAGCAAGACGTATCTTATTCATTACGAGAAATGAACTCTATGAGAAATAGACACAAGAAAATTCAATAGCAATTTTTGGAAAATGATTATGAAAAAAATATCAAGTTTGTTTCACTCATTATCTACAACTACAATTGCACCTGTCGCAATATGGTATTATATTATCCAATGTATGAGTATATTCATTATTAACCCTTTGAGCGGTTAGGTTTGTTGTTATCTTTCCCCCTTTTATAATTGTATGAAATCCACATCCACAATAGTTACATTGGTTAGTTATATTACTAAAAAACCATTCAACATTTACATAGCCTTCTTTTGGTATTTTTCTTTTTGCTTTTCTGTCCTGTTGCTTGTAATTCTCAATGTTTCTTTCATATTTACTTTTCATGCATTTATAGTTGAAATCATCATTTACATCATCACTATATTTATAAAACTTTACCTTGTTTAAATCCCTTGCTCTTGTGATTGCAGTCCATAACCACTCTCTATATTTTTTAATGTCATAATGGTTATAATCAAAAATTGTTATGTCTCCATCTATGCTACTACCTTGGGCTGAATGGCAGGTAGTGCAATGGGCGAATATGAAATTATCCCTTACCTTTTGAATTTTTAAGGATTGTAGTATATTAGTTTTAGTGTTCTTTAATGTCATCACTCCATCCTTTCCAATATGAACTATTTTGTATTTAAAATTTACATTAAAAACTGACGTTTGAGTTTTAGTATATTCTCTACATATCAAGAATTCACCTACTTCATATTCATCTTTTCTATTTTCCAATTTCCTAATTTCAGTTGCTACATTCTTACAAGTATCATTTAAATAGGCAATATTATGCTTTGAACCACTTATACTAGTAGTATATCTGAAATATTTTTCAATGATTTCCTTGAAAGGAAGCTTATTTACAAGAATATCAGTTTTTACATTGCTTAATTTGTCCTTATCCTCTTGTGTTTTCAATCTCTTGCATTCTTTTAATAATATACTATTTGTAAAAATATTGTTAATGATATGGTCTGCATATACTTCATACTCTTGAATGTTAGTTAGTGGTTGAATAGGTTTTAATTGCTTGGTGTCCCCGGTAGCAATTGTTATTTTGTTATGCTTATTGTCTTCTACGAATTGCTTTATTCTCCAATAAGTGCTTAGACTACTAAAATAAACCTCATCAAAGACTATAACATCATACCCTGAATAATCAAATGGCTCTAACTTTACATCACCAAAACTTATACCAAAAAACTTATTTAATGTTAAGGCGTCTCCTTCAAATTCTTGTAGTAATCTATTAGTAGGACATACAAATATTATCTTATAACCTTTATCTACCATTTTCTGACATATAAATGATTTTCCGGTTCCTGGATAAACGCCCCTTATCATCATTGGATTATGCCCCTTAATAACTTCAATGATATTATCAGTGTCGTATTCGTTTTTAATTTCAATGACTGTATGCTTATAAGTTGGTATTTCAACCTGTTCATTTTTTGCAATTTCATATTCTACACTTGGTAATTTAATATCTTCATACTTGCTAATTCTCCATCCTCCAATTCCATTATGGAAGTCCAATATCATTTTTGTCCTCTCCTCATCACATCTTTGAATTACAAATGCATCAGTTTTAACACTATATACCTTAACACCATTACTTCTTAACTTATAGTAGTCTTGATACATTTTGAAGTTATGGTATTGTAAAAGCAATTCCTTCATGTATCTAAATCCATTTTGTAATTGGGCTTTGTCCTTCAAATTTAATATATAATAACTTTCACCTTCACTATCATATTCTCTTATTTTTAGACTGTCATCACTCTTGGTTTCAATATGTTCAACTTCAACATCAGTCAGTTTATGTATTTTGCCTCCATATTCTGCTTGATAATTCACTGCTTCCCTTAGGTGCTTAAAGACCATGCTTTTTTGACTGGTTGAGCCTCCTTTTTCAAGAAGTCCAAAATTTATATTGGCAATCAGTTTTTTGATAGTCTTGTCTAAATCGGAATTGCTACTGATTTCATGCTTCCATAATTCATCAATGATTTCTTTGTAATTACATTCATATGTTCTTGAAGGTTGCTTGTAATACAAAATATTTATTCTTCCACACATGACCTTTTTCAAAAATAAGCCATATATCAAGCAATATTTTTTGTTGAATAAAAGCTTTCTGTTGAATAGTTCCCCCTGAACCTCCACATAATATAGAGTTAAATCATGCAATGTTGTAATATCAATGTTGTCAGTATAAACTTGCCAAATGTCAAACTGATTGAATACTGGAATTTCATTCATACTCATGAATGCTAATGTAAATGCCTTGGATACATCAGCTTCAAAAACATCAGTTGGAAAAGCCTTAGCGCAACAAAAAAGACCTGATGGAACTATCGTCCTTGCTTCATTCAATATTGCTACATCAATGTCATTGTAGAAGGACTTGTGTAATGGATTAAATAAAGACTTATTGAAAATAAACATTGCTTTATTCATTCTGTTGTATGTTATTTCATCATCAACTGCTATACATCCATCACATGATGACTTAATCAGATTTTGAGTTTTTATGATATATTTTGTTTTGCCTAATTTTAGTCTGATTTCTGTAACGATTGTTTGGAAACTTATTCTTGGTTCATATCCGCTTTTCACCAGCTGAAAGAATACCTCAGTTAAATTGTTATTTTCTAAAACTATATTCATATCTTCATTATCCTCACCCTTGATTTTTAATATCTCATTTATATCTTTAATCATTCTGAATTCGGGCGGTTCATCCTTTTCATTTAAATAATAGTCAGTTGATGCTTTCACACCTAGGCTATGTTTGTTTGCTTGTCCTTGCTGAATGCTTTTCAAATCATGATTTAAAACATATATATGATTGTTCTTCACCATGGCATAAAGGGTTTTGATATGATGATTTCTCTTTTCTGGGTCATGTTTATAAATGAGCCTATTCATAAAATCAAAAATCCTGACCTGAATTCTATATTGCTTGAAGACTTGCTCCATTTCCGCAATAGATGCCCCCTTCTCATGGAAGTTGTCTCTGCCTATGATTTCAATTACCTTTTCTCTTGTCAATCTATTTCTGTTTTTCTCACTCATTAAAGTATCCTTGTAAAAATCAGTCAGCGCATTAATCCAACATTCATTTTCAATATGATTGCCGTTTTGGATTGCTTTTTGTATAGTGGATGCTTCCATATAAATAGGTGTGTTAATGTATCTATGATATATTGATATGTTAGTTGCATCAGTCAAGTTTTCCCTCAGAATATCAAACTTTTCACCCTTGCTATTTACAAATTCAACACTGGTAATTTTGATTGCTTGAAACAAATTGTCATAATATCTCATCAGCTCTTCAAATGTGTCATTAAACTCCTCATCTGTTCTCAAAAATTTGATTAGTTTTCTAAACATCTCATTTTCGTTTCCATGGGTGATACTGCCAGTTTCATTTCTCACTGCATCTTTATATCTATAAACAACTTGTTTGATAATATCCTTCGGAAATTCTTCTTTGATTTTGATTGTGGCTTGTTTGACATCAAAACTGTCAATGTAATATTTGACACCATTCTTTGAAAAGGCACTTTTCATTTTCTCATTCCTTGGGCTTCTCCAAGTGTAAATTTGAAAATTTATAAGATATGTTTTGTCCTTCTTTTTTTCTTTTGTCTCTGCTATTCTTTCTTTTATTGGCTTGGTTTCTTTGAACTTGTTTATGTTGTCCTTGTATTTTTTAAATGCCTTTTCATAAGTCCTTTTATCATCAGAGGTAAGACCTTTAATCAGATTTTCAGCAGTTGCTACATTTGATATTTTTCTTTCAGTATATAG